ATACAAAATATACACAAAATTATTGTGACGTATTCAAAATTTTTTTTTATTCTTTATATAATTTATTTTCATAAATGGCTCAGAAGTATAACTAATTTGAAAACAAATTGATATTTCTAAAACTGTTTTGAATTATCAATATAAAAAAATCTGATATGGTCAGCACATAACCAACCGCAATGTGTATTGTCTAGTTAAGTGAAAGTGTTACGGAATATTATAAAAATGACTGTTCTTTTCAATTTTTAGGGCATTAGTAAGTTTATAGTTAACATACCTAGAAAAATATAAATTTGGCTCTTAGTAGAGTTTCGCTTTGTGCTACCCGAATTCCCTGAAACGTTTGCCAGTTAGTTTTTGTAACAACCAGAACTCAAATATCGAATTTCAAGAAATTCCATCAGTCCGTTCCGTAGATATGCTAAAAAATGTAAAATCGGCCCGAAGATCCATCATGATCTTTCCAAAAAATTTATATGTTCATTGTTGTAATACGAGGAATTCAAATATCAAATTTTAATGAAATCGGTTGAATATTTTCTTCTAAAAGGTCAAAAATGTAAAACAGGCTCGGTAAAAAGTGCAGTTCTCGAGGCCTGATAAATCCCAAAAGTTGATTAATCCGTGCCACAGTCGAAATAAACTTACACATAAAATTTCATCAAAATCGATTCAGTCGAACTTAAGATACACGCGTGCACACACAGACCGACAGGTTGCTACAAATAGTTTATTGAGAAGTGTATTCCCATCGAAAACTCGATATGCAAAATTTGTTGCCATCACATAGTCTACCTATTGTATACACAATACGGTCGGTAATAAAGGGGTAGAAAATACATTAACGTGAAAATTATCTATAAAGTGTGGTAGTCGTTATTTTGAACATAGTTATTGTTTTTTCTGTTTATAAAAAATATCTAATTTAGATAGAATTCTTCTCAGTACAAAAGTTAATTCCGCTCCTTTCATTTCTTTATAATTAATTGTTTCACATCAGTACCCTATGGTTTCGACTTAATGTTATATTTTAAATACTTTTCAATATTTTTTATATATTGTACTCAAACAATATTATTCTAAATGATACGAGTATTTTTACCATGAAGTTTTTTTGTAAAGAAAAAATAAATGGAAAAGAAACAAATATTGGAACATGAATATTTTATTTTCCTCAAGAACTGTTTAATATTAAAAAATCAAAATGTTTGTAAATTTATTTAAATGATAAACGCCATTATTAAAAAAGTAAATAAAATCGAAGTATATATGTACATATTTTCTGTATAAGAGAAAATGAAACAGGAATTAAATAAAAGGTGGGACTACATGTTTACTGCATTATAATATACACTTATCCATACACAAATGAATACACGTGTATAAATGAATATAATATTTCTACATACATAAATATTTTGATGTGAAACATCTTTAACTCTTTTCTTTCAACAGCCATTTCTGAATAATAAAAGATTTTATTGGTCTTTTGACTCTCTCTTATAACTGGGTTTTCTTTTCTCATACTTTTTAATTGTGTTGCAATATAGAAAATAGTATAAGAATAAGCAAACGATTTTAAAGATATATTGGTATACATATGTGTCAAGATTTCGTTTTTCTTATACTGTACATATATGCATGTAAATAACAAGCAAAGAGTACAAACAGATCTTGTACTTAACAGATAGAACTTACGAAAATCTTTATAAAATAAAATTTTTCTCAATTTCATTTTTCATTAGTCCGCAGCTAGTTCAAAAGTTTAATTTAGTTTAAAAGTGTTTTATAATACCAAGAATGTCACGGATAATCGTATTTTAAAATGAAGCGAATAAAATAATTAGTAAAATTATAAATTGAAAATTTAATTTAAATAATTTTTGTATTTTAACAACCGTTCTCAATTAAATTTTTAATAAAATATTATATATGTACGTTTAATAAAAACATCTTCTAGTAAAAGATATTATGACCTTTTGTAGAAAAATTAAAATGTTAAATCAGCTATACAGTTAAATTGAATGTTTTAATTTTAATTAAAAATTTTTAATATAATTAAAGTTTTTTAATAAATAATAACTATTTAATTTTAAAACTAAATTTGTACAAATGCGTAAAATATTTATTAAATGCATTCAAAAATTATACAAATATGTTTGTAGTTTAGCAATAATATAATGATTAAAAATTACACACATTATTTCAAATTTTGTCGTATAAGTGCGAGAATTTACGGAAGTGAATTAAATATACATTAAATATATATATATATATATATATATATGTATACATGTAATTACAGTTTATATTATTATATACAAAAAAAATATGTGTATGGTGTTTTTTAACAGTTATTTTACTAATACTGTTATTAAAAGATAATAACAGAAAAAAATAAAAGTAAAAATTTAACTCCAAAAAAAAGCAAATTTATGACAACTTATTTATAAATTCATTTGACAAATGTATACTAATTAATTACAGTTTATCTAAGGTATTTAATACAAAGTTATAAATAATTGATTATTTTCAAAAATAATAATAATAAAATTAATAAAAAATAAAGAAAAAGAACATTTACTTTTTTATTTTTGTTAATATTTTATTAAACCGCTAAAAATCTTTGACACCTTAAGTGAGTGAAGAACTTCACTTTTATTTTTATGTGAACAAAATATTAAATTTAATGTATGTAGGTGGATATTAAATTTTTAAACTAAGTTTTTAAGTATTTCGTATTTTTAAATTTTACAAAGAAGTTTGTTTTTATTGTTATTCTTACTGTTATTTTTTTTATCTGTGAACTAACTTATTAAATAAAACATTTCTTAAATTTGCAGGAAGGTGTCAAAAGAGCTATTTCCGATATAATAATAATCAAAGTGTTAAATATTTTTTCTTTGTTTTCTCTTTTCTTACACTCTTCCTCAACCAATTTATTTTGTATACTTATTTAGAAGTGTTAATAAAAAAGGATAATTAAACAATAACCATTTAACATACGTTATACATTAAATGATACATTAGATAATAATAATTTTGAACAATAGCAAAATAATATAAAGTGAAGTTAAAAGGAAAGTGTTAAAATTTGAGGGAATTCTTATGGTTGATTATTTCCCAAAAATTTTGTTTTCAAAATATGAATTTTATGTACTTATTAATTTATATTAATTGAAGATAATTTATTTAATTAAAGAATTTTTGGAAAAATCAATCAAATAATTATTTATATTATTATAAAATAATAATAAAAAAAATTTATTTGTATATAAACTGATCCACACATAATAAGAAATGCGTAAGTATTTTTCTGAGAATTAATATTACTAAAATTTTACTATGCTACTCATAAAATATAAAAATTATTATTATGCTCTTAATTAAATATTAACCACCTTAATGCTATATATATAAAATTAATTTTAAATTCAGTAAAAATTCAAAAATAAAAATGAAATTTCCATTTTTTGCATATTTTAAAATGATAAAACGAAAAACTTACGTTAGAAACTTTGTAGTATAAGGAGCAAAAGAAAATATGTATAAGGAAAATAAAATTGAAAAATGAAATGAGTTATATAAATCACTCAGTCAATTGTAGGAAACAGTTATGCTTACTATTTTTATATGTTATACAAAAGATGTAGTACTCATATTCAATTCTGACTGAAATAAGTCTCTGCTTATGATTGAATGATTAAAGGTACATAGAGCATAGAATTGCATTATGTTCAATGAAAAATTTTATTTGTTTGAAAATAGAACGCTTTCCGATCTTCAGTAGATTCTGAAATAGACTCAGTAGAAAATAAAATACATCCTTTATATTAAAGTTAATATTACGTGAATCAGCCATAGTTCTTTGTACTTTTCAGTGACCCCCTATAGGATTTATTGGAGATACATTTTAACAAATTTTCACCAAATTTCTACTTGTCCAATCTATTTTGCTCATAACTTCCCTTCCGAAAAAGAAAGAAGCTTTCAATAAACAGTTTCTGAAAGGGCTAGTAAAGGGTTTTAAAGCAATATATTGAGCCTTATTCTAGTTGTCGCGTCACTTACGTGACATTTGTCGTTGTCGTTGTCACATCATTTGAAATGTGGTATTCTAGTTGTCGAGTGACGTGACTACGAGAAATAAACGAAAATGAAACGTTTCAAGTGAAATTGATACATTTTAAAAAGAAATTTTGGCGAGTAAAGTTCAAACTAAAAAAAAAAATTCGGTGTATATATTTATTTTTTTAAATACGAGGGAAATAAAAAATATCGTCATTTGCATTATGGTTTATGGATTCTTCAAACTCCGAGAATGATGAAATTGAAAAAAAAACAACAATTAAGGATCAAAAGATTTAAGATTAGGGACAGCTCTAATCCATTGGATTTGCCAAATGGAGTGTAAGATAATAATTTTTTCAAATACATTAGTTACAAACATTTTATTTTATTCGCAGATTTATAAGCTATTACAGACTTCCAAACCATATATTATTTGGTTTAATTTATGTATTAAATTACAAAATTTATTATTTTTAATATTTTTATTAAATTGTTTTGTTTAAACTTACATTTTTGGTGTATCCATCTCGCTTGTCACTTGTTAAATACTTTTCGACAAAAAACGTCGTTTCACTACGACATGTGTCGCTCTACAACGCCAACTGGAATATACCTGAAACACATTTTCCCGCTATTCCACGACACGTGTCACTTTAATCGCCATTTAGAATATCAAATTCAAGTCGAGACGACAATTGTCGCTCTACTTCGACAACTAGAATAAGGCTCATTACCTAGCTTGGTATTTTATGTACTTTTGGAATACCAACCATTAGAACTTTAGAAAAAACCAAATTTTTCACTTATTTTAATTTTTTAGTTTTCTTTAACCCGATAAATTCATACAACATTTTTTGAAACGTTAATTTCTTTTTACAAAATTTTGTCTAGTTGCTTGAACTTTAATTAAAGTCATAAAATAGTAAAAAATGTTTTGTGGTACAGAAGTAATACATCATACAATTACCATTCCTATGCCAAAGGTCTTAATAAAATGTAAAAAATCAAAAAATTGTCACTATTTTTGATTTTTATTTCCTTGTAACCTGTTTGCGAAACCCTTAAAACAACAAACATTCCTTCGTGTCGATCAGACGTGATCAGACGAGAATTTACATAGACTTACCTTATAAATGAGCCTGTAAGCTTCCATAAGCAATCTTCAAAAGTTAACTTTTGATGCAAAGCAATCAAAGTTTTATTATGTGCAATATATACTAATACTCAAATTCGAAAGGGGATATAAGTATATTCTAACTTATATGTAATACTGCAAGAGCTTTTTATCTTGAGTATTTTAAAACATTATAGAAATTCCGATGTCAGATTTGACATAACAATGACATCAGTGTCATTAATATACCTTGCAACTATATTGAAAAGCAATCTTTCAAAAAACTTCACAACTTAATTCTGGGTTTTGGAATTATTACATGCTAGGTGTACGGCTCTGATGATTTTAAATTAATGGACACGTATTGCAACCTATATCAGCCTCTATTTTTAGACTTTAATTGTAAATTTGAATATTGTTACATATTCTAAAAAATATCACTATTATGAAATTTATTATGTCCATATTAAATGAAAAAAAAACTAAGTTGTTAAAGGAATCTTGCTACTGAATTTAAAACTGAATCCTTAATATGATATAAGTAAGTGCATTACGATATTGACAAGTGCACTTCGATTAAAAGCAAGGATTTAAAACTTTTTTCAATATTTTGATTCAATTACGAATAAAATAAATTAATGACTCCAACAACCACTTAAAAATCAAAATGTTTACTTATACGCACATCTTACAGTTCGTATTACTTTTCTCTCTGTAAAATTTCCCATATTTCTGCGTTACAATTTTCAATTTAAACATGCATTCCTAATCAATACAGTCATGCACTACTATAAATTTATCGTTTTCATATCATATAAACGTGTGAATTACAGTCAAATATTAAAATGTTTCTATAATTTTTGCTGTTGGAATGATACTTTTTCCAACTTTTTATAGTAGAAGTAAATAAAATTAAGAAGTCATAAAAAGGCAAAATATTTTTATTTCATTAAAAATTCGATCCAACTTTTTGCGAAAAAAAAAACATTGTAAAATTAATAATGTAAATTTATTGAGTCAGTGATATTGGTGCAGTATCGATGATCCGGCTTTGTTTTTAATTAGGTTATTAATTTTTCGATGTTACTAATTTCAACAAATTTCGATATTCTATACTTCGGAATAACAGAGATTTAGAATAAAACACAAAAATTAATATTTAATTACATTTAAATTTCAAAGCATAATTTAACATGAGTCATTATAAAAAAGTAAGAATACTGAAATAAAAATAGACTGTTAAAAGTTTAAAGTCCATCAAATAATAAAGAAATAAAAACCTAACAATTCAATAAATATTTTATTAAAAATTTAAGAGTATTAAAATACATTTATGTATATATGTGCCTTGCCTTCATTTTCCAAAATATGAAAAGGAAATCATCTTAATTTCAAATTTAAGTCTCGTCTTGCTATTTCTGCTGCCGGTATTTTTTTTGTGTTATATTCAAAATTATAATCAAGCATTTTTGTACTATCTTCTTTAAAAATAATTACTACTATCAACAATAACTATGTTTGACATTACCTTATAGAGCGGAAATCATTCGGACCTCGTACACTATCGTTTAAAAAACCAAAAATTGGCGCCGTTTAACCTGTTTAGGCTGAATGAAATTTTTTTGATTTAATTTTTTACCCAACAACAATTGATGTTGATAAAGGTTTTTTGGAATTATCGCCAGAATAATTTGCATTAGTAAAAATGAAAATAACAAGTCCCTAAAAGTATCTATTTTTGAGAATATGCCTTTAAGATATAGAATTATGTATTATATAGAATTTAAGATATAATACTCAAGATAGAATTATGTATTATCAAGAAAATTAATTAAAGCTTATTCATTGAGTCCAAATCAAACTTGCTATGAATAAGGGCTCTGAACAAACAAAAAAACACAAATTTTTAACATAAAATTTGTTAGGAAAAAATTAAAGAATCTTTTTTTTCTAGCTGATGCTAACGAAATTGATTTTAAAATTGTTTTTAATCTAAAAATAATTTTTCTTTAAGCTAACCAAATAGCCTTAATATATGGCAAGGAATTCATTAAACAACCATTTTCTACATTAAAAATTAGATATTAGTGTAAGTTAGTCTCTAAATTCCATAATTTTATTAGGCTATATCAAATTTTTGTTTTGTTTTTTTGGAGAAAAAAAAATATGTATGCATATAAAATGAAATAAATAATACTTGCTTTTAAGGTCTCTAAAAAATTAGCCGACAAACGGAACCGTTTTGTGATGAAATGTTAATTTTATTGATTTATGATTGGTCCAATAAAATTTCAATCAGGTAAAAAAGATTACAGCCATCTAAGTGATATGACGGAATTATATGTGAGAATATATATGTAATAAACATATTTATATGCGCAAGTTGTATAATATATAAGTGATTTGCTGTATTTATGGATTAATGTACGAGTATATGAAACTAGTGGCGGCATATTTAGTTATTCCTTCATATTTTGCATGCAATAAAAGTGATGTCTACATTCGTTTTTCATATAATGTGAAAAAGGGAAAAATTTATAAAGTAACTTCTTACAGCGAGAGACGAGAGTAAAAGAGTTCATTGTTCCACAGAAGAAAACGTTTTGTTTTGGTAATAAAAAAAGGAAAAAAAAACATTTTATTATAAATGTGGAATTAGATTGCAGTCCTTTTTGAGAGAAAAATTATTCATTGTGTTTTTCTTCTATAAGTTACGCTGAAGTTTACAGTAAAAATCACAACGTGGAATGCTTGTGGTAAATCTTGTGAAAGTTATATTTTGACATATTCTGTCAACTAATACTTTAAAATATCGCTTTTCTTATTATTTCAAGTTTGAATATATTTAAAAAAAAACCGTATTTAATTAAGAAGAGATTTTGAGCTTGAAGCTATGAAAATTTAATAAAAATAATTTTAATCTTTTTAAGCAAAATTGGAACATCTTCTTATTTGGAATTCTTAGTTTATTTAAAAAAGAATGATTTTCAATCTTAAACTTTTTCTTAAACTTACAAAATATTAAGGTTTTTATTGTTGAGTTTTGAATTTTTTTAATTTACTTTACATATTAATTTGGATCAATATGTAATGAATTAGTAATGGCAATTAATTGCACATTATTGCCGCCAAAATTAAAACATACCACTTAAGGAAAAATACAGCAGTTTTAATAAATATGTGGAAATAAATATGAATTCCATCTGTGAAAAAGATCTCCTTAAAAAAATCGATATCCGTTCGAATTACTTCTTCTATTTCACATCGTTTTACTCTGTATGTTTTAATTTATCGATATTTTAGAGATTCTTACATTTTTAAATATTTCTAATGAATCATTTATGAAAGCGTAAAGAAAAATATTAAAGGTGTACATTAATATAAAGTTTTACCTAAATCTAAATCATATTAAAGGGCATTTTTCTGGAAAGCATCAATTAAAATCAATATTAATCAGCTTTCACACCGTTTTCCAATCAACACTAGTTGGTTTTCTGTAACAAAATACACAAAAAGGTCGACATAACTTTGACTAAAAGTAATTTGTTAAAAGTTTGTTGTTTTTTTTTTAATTTGATCGTAAATTTCTCATATCTTCACTAAGATTTTTGAAAATATTTGATAATGAAATGGAGGTAATGCAAATGGAAAAGAAAAATTTTGGAATCAAGTCTATCATTTTGGAAAAGAAAACAAACTTGTTAATAATGTATAATATTGAATAATAAATATTTGGAAATTTTTGTTTTTGTTTGAAATTACTTTGTTGTAGTTATTTTTTAATTGTTTTCGTCCATAGAAATATTTTTTCTACCGAACGTTACATTGATAGACATGTTTTTTCTCAGAATATAAAGCTACTAAAAGAAAAATTTCATGAAATTGAAAACAAGTATACAAAGTTGGCTTTACGTGTTATATCCGAGTTATCAATAAATATGTAGAAATTAGACATTTCTAAGAAATTCTAACGTTAAGGACTCACAACCCGAGAAGGAGGGCCTGCAGCAAAATGTCACCCTAGTGCAGGAGTACTAGGTATAGAGTCTGTATAAAGACGAAAAACGTAAAAAAAATTGTCAAACCCTTTAACTATAAAAATATCTTAAATAAATCATAAATTAACTATACAAATAAATATAATTTGCTAAACATTTTCTGTTTTAAATAAATGATGAAGTAAAGAATGAATTCAAATAACTCGATCTGGGATTTTTGGTATATTCAAATATTCTTTAAGAAAGCCTTACACATAAATATAGCAAAAAATCGTTGAAAAATTTACGATTAATCTTTATATACCTGGAAACCAAACTTAAATTATTATTTTTATGTTTTGGGGTATGAACAATATAACATAACAAAAGTTCACCACTGTTCATTCTATTTTACGTCTTTACCAATACTCTTTTTTTAAACATGCTTTTCTTATTATTATTATTATTATTATTATTTATTGTATTTTAACTTTTATAAAAATTTATGAGCTTTAACTAAAACTTCATATTCAAAAGTAACACACAGCACTTCAACATTTTATATAATATTTATTCATTCCAATTTTATATTATTTTTATTTGTGGGATTCGCATTAAACTTAGAAATTAATAGGAATTCAGAAATACACATTTTTGACAATATCAAATTAAAAAGATTGTTTAGATTCTAAAATTTCAGGTGCTAACCGCTTTCCGCTTTACATTCATGGTATTCTGCTAGTATAAATTCTAATTTTCTATCAATACACTTTAATTATAAGTCTATATGTACTGATGTTCACGCTTCTACGCAGATGCCATATAATGGTTGATTTTTTAAGAGTGTAATGTCTTTATTTAAAAACAGAAACAGAAAAATCTCAAATTCGAATATGTAATTTTTA